ATTAAAAGAAGAAGACCGAAGTGCTCAAAAATTTCTAGGCGATAAATATTCCCTAACCGAAAAAAACTGAGAAAGTTGACTAGATATTAGTCGCAGTGGCCTAACTGGTGATTTAGTAATAGAAAACTGGTCTAATTTAGAAAGATTAGATTGCTATAATAATCAACTGAAAAGTTTAACTCTCATTAATTGTCCTAAGTTAACGAGAATTGAATGTTCTGATAACATAATAACTAACCTAATTATTAATAATTGTTCCGAAGTCGGTGTTCTGAATGTCAGTGATAATCTCCTTAATAATTTAGGTTTTCTCGATAGTTTAAATCCAGAAAAATTAGCTGTTTTGTATCTTACTAATAATAATTTTTCTCCCCAAAACATATCTCTTTTTAGCAAGTTTGCTAATTTAAAAAATCTTTATTTAACTAATAATCGCTTTTATGGTAGCCTGCAATCTTTAAATAATTGCAAAAAACTAGAAAAACTGAGCATTTCAGGCACTGAAATAATTGAAGGGTTAGAATATTTACCTGATGATTTAAATGAAATTGATTCAGTTAATGCCCAAGAATTAGGAGAAAGTTCAAGTGGATTCAAAATAGTGCGCTGAGCTAACCTAATGAAAGAAAAAAAATATCACAATGTTGCTTATTATGATCTCCGGTATTGAAAAGAGGCACAACCATATTTCCAAGAATTAAAAAGTACTTGAGAAAAACTTCATCCGGGTCAAAATATTTGAGACTTTCTAAAAAAAGAAAAGATTTTTTTTAATGCTAAAAGTGGCAGTTATTGAGGCAGTTTTCAAGGATTGGTTCTTAACCTGCAAAAAGACCAAATAATTAGTGAAAGAGAGAAAAAAATAGTTGAGTTATTTAAAGAAAACCAAAGATTAACCAACTTGATTAAAGAGCAGAAGGAAATCATCAATGATTATCTCCGTTTTTTTCCTGAAAAAGAAATATTACAAAAATTAATTCAGGCTCATTTAGAATTCACAGAAGCCAAAAAACAAAATCAGCCTTTCATTAAACTTCGTAAGCAAAAAGAGGCTATTTATAATGAATTAACTGAAAAAGTGGGAGAGGAAGTGATGGAAGAAGTGGAAAACGTTTTGGACAAATATGAGAAATTAAAAAGTTTAGAATCAGAACTAGAAAAGACCGAGGCTGATCTTGAATTAACAGAAAACCTCCAGAAAAATCAGATTCAGCCGTTTAGGAGGAAAAGAAGCCAATCTTTACTAATAGTTGAAGCTGAATATAAAGGTAAATTAGAGGCTAAAGACCAGGAAGTCGTTAGAATTCATCAATTACTTAATCAAGTGATGCTTATCTCAAGATCCCAGCAAATTATTAATATTTCTGATGTTAGTCAATCAGGTATTAATATAGCCGGTGATAATTCTTATCTTAGTAACAAAAGCACTACTAATTATCGAACAAATTATCAACAACTAGCCGCCGAAACTGAAAACCAAATTATTGCCTTTTTATCTAATAAAGAAATTATTCCCCAAGAACAAAAAGTAATCAACAAAACCATCCTCTTTTTAGGAACCAAAGAACTGTTTGTCAATTATCGACAAACCACTATTAACAATCTGATAGATTGCTACAATAAACTAGAAAAAAGATTAGGAAGTAAACTCCACAAATTTACTACTGCGGTCAGTATGACCAACATTGCTGGCAAATTAGCAAGCATTATTCCCGGAGGAGGAGTAGCCGAAGCTCCTCTAGGAATTTTAGGAGATACCATTAACCTTACTGGAACCATTATCCAAGGTAAGCTTTTAGACAAGTTCACTAAGCAGTTTCAAGAAATCTTAGCCAAGGATAAAAAAAACTTGTCTTTATTTGATGGGAATTATTTAGAATTAAGGAATATCATCTGGGGTGATGAGAAAACAAGCCGAGGTGAGATAGTTGCTGATATTATCAAAACTCTAAAATTAGAAAGAACTAAAATAAGTCCTTTTAGTGATGATTATAACGCTTTTAGTCAAAGTGTTAGTGGAATTTGGCAAAGCAGATCTTCGATAGATTTAGGAGAAATGAAAAGTTCAATTGAAGCAGTTATTAATGATTTTGCTAAATTAAAGCAAAAATTACAAGAAGAAAAGGAACAATTGAGTAGACAGACCTGATTTGTTGCCATAGAAGAAAAGACTGATTTGTTGAAGGAACAAACTCAAGCACAGGTTGAAATTTCTACTAATGTAGCAAATTAGAGAGAGGAATTTATCTCCTTTTCATTTCTTTATCTCTTGCCATAGGAATATTTTTACTCTTGTATAAATAGTTTTGCTTTTTTTATAACTTTTATCACGAGGACTAATCCAAATATCGTAAGCAAACTTTATCCTCTTTATCCCAACAAAACAAAATAATAAACGATATTGACGAGCCAATCGAATGCCATATTGTTTTTTTTCAAAATGTATGATTTGTCAAAATATTATTCTGTTCGGCACCGAGGAAATGTGTTTTGCTTGTCTATTTAAAAATTAAGTATTATGTTAGCAGTTTTTAAATTTTGTGGAGAATTAATTACTAAAATTGTTCTTACTGGCAAAGTATTGATATTAGAGGTTTTCGCCCTTTTTGATATCTGATTGGGATTGCTTATATTGACTATGTTTGGTGCTTTTGTTAGAGGTTTATTGTTTAGTGGAATTGGTGGTAGTGCTGTGAGTAGTTTGGCAGGTAGGGCTAATGGTAAAAGTAAAAATAAAAAAGTGATGGTGGTAGCAAAGTGATAATTATAAAAAAATAAATTATATAGTGATTTGTATTTTCTAATTGCTAAAATAATGTTAATATAGAAAAAAGTTTTCAATAGAAATTTCAACAAAAAAGCCCTTGTGGTAATGAAAGATGGATATCTTGAATCATTTTTAATATGGTAAACGCTCAAACATGATTAGACGAAAATTATGCATTAAAGGATGAAATAATTGAATTAGATGTTAGTAAAAAAGGATTAGAAAATTCGTTAAACTTAAATGATTTTGTTAAATTAAGGGTTCTGAAGTGTGGGAATAATAAGTTAACTGGCCTAAACGTTAGTGGATTAGTTAAACTTGAAGTAATTGAATGTTCTAATAATCTCCTCACGAGTGAAAGTTTGAGACTTTCAGGGTTAAGCCGCCTGGAAACATTTCTAGGTAAGCATAATCTTTTTGAAAACTTAGATTTTTTCAAAAGTCCAGAGAATTTAAGGCATTTAGACTTAACCGATAATAATTTCCACAAACGTGAAACAACTCTGGAAAAGGAAAGCGTTGGTCTAGATATTTTCAGTAACTTCGTTAACTTAGAGTCATTAAAGATTGGTAATTATAGTCGCGAAACAAAGAATGGTAAATATAATCGCTTCTGTGGTTCTCTTGAACACCTATCTGAGTTAAAAAACCTTAAAAAATTGGACATTAATTGAACTAATGTTGACAATGGATTGCGATATTTGCCATTAAATTTGGAAAAGATTTGGTGTTGTGATAAGTATAAAGGATACGGATCATTTGAAAGTAAGTCAAGCAAACTTGTCAAAAAACTGAAAAATTTTCATACAAACCAAGATAATGAATATAATTATCAGGCTTGAAGAAAAGATTATGATGAACAAAAAAATTTAATGGAGAAAAACAAAATATATCCACAATTAACTTGGAGAGAAAATATAAACAAAACAACACTTTCTAAAGAGAAATCACCAATTAGATTTTACAATATCAAAACTGATGAGGTAGAGGGAGCAAAAGAAACTTCAGTTATAGAAAAATATGCAATTGTGTCTTATTCATGAGGAGTTCCTGGTAAACCAGATGATATTGATGGCTGAACTACTAAACATAAGTTAACGCCCAACGGACACAAATCATTATATAAAGCTCTTCAGGCGTGTAAAATACTTAAAGAAGTGGGGTTAGAAATTAATTATCTTTGGTCAAGTGAAATATGTATTGATCAAAATAACTTAAAGGAAGAAGCAGAGGAAGTTTCTAAAATGAGATATTATTATAATAATACAAATGTGACATTAATAGCAATACACACTGAGCTTTTAGAAGAACTTTCTAGCAGCAGATTTCCAAAAGAAGGCAAAAGTGAACAATTACTTCTTGATTGGCCGAGTATAATAAAAATAGTAACTGATTCTGATTGATTCACTCGTGCTTGAACCTATCAAGAAGGTTGATTATCTAAACAAACTATTTTTATGTTTGATGATTTATTAATCGATGGCAGGTTCTTAGCAGCAGTATGGTCTTTCAACAATCCAAGCCATGCTCGTTATAGTAGGTATAATAATTTAAAAGAATTTTATGATCACTCAAGAAAAATCGCTACCCCCTTTGGCTGAACTTACTATCAGGGTGACTACAACTCTCAAGATATTGTAGTTTTAAGATTGGATGAAGCATTAAGGGAAACAAAAAACCGTAAGCGGGATATTCCAGTTGATGCTATTTATTCTATTTTAGGACTGTTACCATATGGTGATAAAGTTGAAGTTAAATATAAGTCGAGGATGTGTCCGGAGTGTCCTAACCAAGAAGAAGTTGAAACTTGTCAACATGAAGAAAAAAATAAAAATCAACCTATTTATACCAAGAATGATGTTGAGTCAATACTAATTGAAGTAATGAAAGTAGCTGTTCAAAACGGCTATGGAGAGCCGTTTGCCTGATTTGGGCCGGGAAGCGATACATACGGAAGGTGTTGATTGCCAAAAGTACTAGAATTCTCTGGTGAGGAAGCAGGATGAGAACAAAGACAAACTAATGGCTCAGTTGACGTAAGAGGGGGAATGGACATAAAATACATAATGCCTAAAAATAAGCAGATTGGTAAAAAATTTTTAGATGAAATCTTTACTGAAGATGGTATTAAAACAAGTGGTTCAATATACAAAATAATTTCCTTCGAGAAAAGTATTGACAGAATAGAAAGCGGATCAACTGTAGATGGGGAACTGCATCGTAGGGAGATAAATGTTGCTAAGTGAGGTGATTATAGCTGTACAAGTACTAAAATAAGTTTATGAGGAGTTCAAGAATCTCTAGGGAAAATAAAAACTAATAATGTTTTTTTGATAGTTATTGGTGATGGTTGAAAAAGTAAACATGGTGAGGCACCTGCTATTCTAGCTTCATATGATGAACAAAATGATTGCTTTCACAGAATAGACTTGGTAAGTTTGGGTGAGGGAGCAGAGCGGTTAGAGAAAGGAGAAAAACGAGAAGTAATAATTGGCACGAACAGTAAGTTGATAAACAAGTATTCAGAATACGAGTATCAGGCTCAGGTTGAAATTAGCAACTCCATTAAAGAAAATAATTTAATTATATTTTAATAACTAGTTTTATGGCAAAAGAATGAAGTAACATACATAAGGAGTTCGGCGAAAGATGAGGTGAATATCTTAAGGAGAAGTGAACTAACAATAAATTTGACTATTATCAAACTGAGACTTGGGTTAGGGTTCTTGGTTTAAGTCCGCGTGATGACTACAACTTTGCTTGATGATTAGTGAACGAGAAAAATAAAAATTTAAGGGATTTAAAGCGTGAAGATATTGAAAAGTTAAGGAAAGATTTAAAAGAGTTAGAACGAAAGTGGAAAGATGGTATTAACAAAGATTTCACTTCAGACAAAATAATAGATTGAATAAAAAAAGGACTTGATTATCAAGAAGTTCAAGAGTGAATAGGAAGGGGTTTGACTATTGAGGAAAGTGATTTTATTGTCTACTTAAAGAAAGACAAAAGACTTGAGCCTTCAACTATCACAAATCTAGAGAAATTAAGAAAAGAGCATTATGATGCCCAAAAATGGCTAGACAAAGAATATCCGAAAGAAACAAGAGATGATGTTGAAAAATTAAATATTCTTAATAATAAAAATTTAGAAGGTTCTTTAAATTTAGAAGGATTTATCAACTTAAAGGAGTTTGATTGTTCTAGTAATAGGCTAACTAGACTTGATTTTAGTGATTGTTCGCAGTTAGAAATTGTACGTTGTCAGAAAAATAACTTGACCAGCCTTGAGTTCACTAATTGTCCTAATATCACTGAACTTTATTGCAACAGAAATCAACTAACTAATCTCGATTTTTTAAAGCATTTGTCAAGTGAAAAAGTGGAGGTGCTTTCTATCGCTAATAATAATTTTGCTGACAATGATTTAAATGTTTTTAGCAGATTTGTGAATTTAAAAAATTTAGGTTTAGGTAATTGAGACGAAGAAAAAACAAAACAAGGCATTTACAATCGTTTTAGTGGCTCCTTAGAGCCTTTACAAGGCATGGCTAATTTGGAAGAATTAGATATTAACGATACTTATATTGATAGTGGCTGAGAATATTTACCAAAAAGCATTAATATTTTCTATTGTTCTAATGAAAATATGCTTACGATTGAGGCACAAGTATCAATTGCAGAAGAATTAAAGAAATATGGTGAACCTAGCAAAGATAAAGATGGTGATGAAAATTTTGCTCCTCTCATTAAGGCTTGAAGGGAATTTGTGGATAGTCCCGCTCAGAAGTGATTAGATGAAAGATATCTAAAAAAAGAAAGGTCAGAATTAACTTATTTAGATATTAGTAAGAATACTATTAAAGGAGCACTTAGACTAGAATTATTTACCAATTTAAAAACATTAAATTGCTGTAAAAGTCAACTAATTAACCTGAACTTAAGCGATTGCCCTAACCTTATCGAACTTGACTGCTCAAATAATGAATTACGTGATTTATACTTCCTTAAAAATCTTAGTAAATTAGAACACTTATCATTGAGAAATAATCCAGAACTTTCTCAGTTTTTTTCGGTTAGGGAATATTTATCGCCTAGAAATTTTTGAGCACTTCGGTCTTCTTCTTTTAAT